TGTTCTCATCTTTAAGCAAATTGTAATCTCTTCTCTATTTCAGTTAATGGCTGGTAGAGAGAGATTAAGAAATGAGCTTGAACATGAAAAATTACTCGTCCAAGATATGGTAAGATGATTTCCATTATTTCCTAATGAATTTGAATTCAGGAATTTAATTTAATCATGAAAGTTTTATAAACTTTATTTGTAACTTGTTCCTGTGAACTATTCCTTTCACCTTTATCAAAAAATCCAAGTGCATATATAATTATAAACATTTTTAAGTGATCATTTTAAAGAAAGCAGCTTAAGTAGTTCCGTAATAAATATACGTACTATGTAGCAGAGTCTTACATAAGAAATAGTATTACCATTTAAAACAGTGTTTAAAAATGTTTGCACTTTATTACGGAGATTTAAAAAAAAAAACAAATACAAGAGCCCAATATTTTGAAGGATTTGCTATTTTTAGTTACAAATTGCCGTAAGTGACAACAAAAAAAGAGCCCAGCTAGATATTTTGGCATTCTGTGTTAGTCTCATAAGAAAACACTGTCTTTTTATGTTCTTTTAAGAGAACTTTCCAGACGGCTGGTCTTTTATTTTATCAGTTGACTCCCCACCCCCTGGCCAGCTTATGGTGGTGTATGTTGCCTTTCAACTGATCACCACTAGTATGTCTTTGTTACAGTAAACTGACTGTGTTTATTATAATAAAAAATAAAACACAGCTTGACTTGCGTTCTAAATGTGCTTGAAAAGAATATGATACTGTTTAGAAGAGAAAAGGTTGTTCATAGGAAATCAACACCACTCCACATATTGAAACATTCGCTTTTCTACAGCTTGTCACATTTTGTGCCAAGTCATGACTGTTTCCCTAACTCCGTTTTGTTACTCTCAGCACCCTGTGTTTTGGGTTCCTTGTCATAGAAATTAAAGCAAAACAATGCTCCTAGATTACAATAAAGCCTTCTATGAAACCAACTTGGGAATGCAGGCAACGGAAAAAAATTATGGTCGGCTATTCACAAAAACCATGTGTTAGCCAATATGTTGTTTTGAACTCTCTACTTTTAAATACCTGGTGTATAAAAATAGTTTCCATGTTTAGATTTGAGGCTACTTGGTGGGTTTCCTCTACCCCCATCCCCCACCCTCTTCTGTCATTCCTCCAAAGCCCAGGCTCTGCTTCTGAAAACAAACAACTAAATGTGCATATTGTCATTAAAATCGAAAGTGTTTTTAGAGAGTGGGAAGCCGATGTTATATTGTTAAGTTTGTTAGCAGCAATAGGAAAGAAATTAAAACTACTCAATCAGTGAATTTGTGCCCATACTAGGAGCTGATCCCTCGCTCTTTGAATTATTTTGCCTATTTATTTTAACTGCAAGCCTTGAACGGGTGCTAGTGTATTGCCCACGGGGGAACCAATCACGTTTTATTTTGTGGTTTAAAAGTTGGTGGAGCCACAAACCTGTTGCCAAGCAGCAAGAGCCTGCACCACAAACCCCATGACAGCACAAGAGCCTTCAGGATGCTCAGAACTAGCTTGGGGGTTCTTGTTTTCAGGAGAGGGAGTGGGTTTGAGGTTCTTGTGACCAAGGTTTGCATCACATACCTGCTTGGGCCCAGCAGAGGTCACTATTTCCAACCCGCCCTCTCCTCCCATCCCCCACACCAAGCCATTCTGTTATTCCCTGGGAGGGAGGCTGGCTTTGTTGCTATTTGGGCTTCCTTTATTTCTTGCTATAGTGCTTTTTTTCCCAGGACTTGTGGATTGCCCAGACAAGGGAGAGTGGGAGAAGGTGGAGTTGACCCCAGTCATTGCGTAAAAAATCAAAAAACTTTCCCCCTGAAAGGTTTTGGTTTTATGATTGTCTATTACTGTTTCTCAATACAATTTGTTTTCCGGTTTATTAAGAGCATCAGGTAAAAGGTCAAAGAGCTGGTAGGAAAGATGCACGATCAGTATAGACAGGTAAGCAATGAAACATGGAGTGACTGGACCCTGAGGTTGGCTTTTGGGGAAGCATATGAAATAATTTCCTATCTTTCTACAGCTCCTGGGATGAG